CCCAGAGAGCCCAACACCCCCTGAATATTCCTTAATCAAATAAGGGGTATTGGGGGGCTCTTGGGGTTAGGGTTCAGGGTCCCTACCACTGTATGTCTGGGAGCAGGGAGTTGGTTTGGACTTTGGGATTTGATTGTTGGCCTTGTTTGTTCAGTAGGGTCGTGTGGGCATACCTTAGCAAAAATAATACCAGAATATGCGGAAGAGGAGGGGATATTGCTACCCAATATTTCAAACCCCAAAGTAGCCGTGGGGGGGGGGGGGGGGGGGGGAGTAAGGTCTCCGAATTCGACGTTGCAGGGTTTAGGGTCGAGGGCTAGGTGCAAAGATGATTCGTTAAGCACGTTAGTGCTATTACTTCCTTTAGGGTGTAGGGCTAGGGGCTGTTACTTGCTGCATACTGCATGCTTCTGACTACTACTCCCTACGTGCTAGTTACTTACTACCCACCACCTACTGTGTCCTGCACCGAATAATGAAATTCTCATCATAGAAATGACGAGATGTTGTAGTGATAATTATGACAAGCTAATACTACGAATGACATTCTCGTGACTTCCGAGCGGGTTCCCTCTGTCCAACATATTCAGCAATTACGGTTCTGGGTGCAGAAACTGTCGGGGCCAGGAAGTTCTCGGATTCGTTTACTGTTTGGGGTCGAGGGTCTCACGCTCAAGCTTTTAGGACGTCTTTGGGCATTTAGTGTAAGTAGTAGGGCCTTAACAAATAGAATAGAGCTTCGGGCTCCTTTATGGTTTTACTATGGTAAGGAACCCTGGGGAATAACATCGGCATTTATTTTGGCTTCTATATATATATATATATATATATATATACAACCTATATACTACTATTGTTACTATTACTATTCTGATTATTGCTATTATTATTTAGGCTTCTCTCTCTATATATATATATAACCTATACTATGTATTGTTATTCTTACTGTTCTTATTACTACTATATTATTATTATTTAGGCTTCTATATATATATATATATATATAATCTATACGGTTATTGTTAGTATTACTATTCTTAGTATTACTATTACTATTTAGGCTTCTATATGAGGCTTTTGGGGGCTAAAGGTTCGCGGGGGGCCCGCGGCAGCTGGCCTGGCTCGTCGACGAGCTGGCCGGGCTCCGAGTGAAGCTAACGAACCTTGGAGTTTAGGGTTTAGGGGTTAGGGTCTAGGGTTTAGGGTTTACGGTTTAGGGTTTAGGGCTTAGTGCGGAAATTAGGGTTAGTTTAGAGGTTTCGGGTTTGGTTTAGAGGTTTGGGTTAGGTTAGAGGTTTTCGGGGTTGGTTTAGAGGTTTGGTCCTTGAGAGGTTTGGGATGTCGTTTAGAGGTATGGGCTTTGTCTTGAGGTTTCGGCTTTAGGGTTTAGGCTTTGGGGTTTGGCAGCAATCGTATCCACGGCAAGGACATGTCGCGTGTGAGAAGATCTACTTGGCAAAGTCCTGTGCTGTGGTGGTAGATGCTCCGGAGCTTGTCGTTTAGGGCTTAATTAGGGCTTTTGGGGTTTAGCATATATAATCTATACTATTATTGTTATTATTACTATTCTAAACCCTAAACCCTAAACCCTAAACCCTAATTATTATTTTGGCGCCGAAGAACTGAAAGCACTTCATGTTCATCTGACTCTTGCTATGACGATCTCTGTGTGGCATCGGTGCGGGGTCCAGATTGGCCGTGCGTCCCCGGAGTTAACGTATGTAAGGACCCTAAACTCAAACTCCAAGCCCCCAGTCAACCCTACTTGGAGGCCCAGGGCACTTAGTAAGTAGGTTATATGTAGAGTTATAAGTACCTTAACCGGAGTTACCCCAATTAAAGCTCTACTTATAACCGACGTACTAAGTNNTAAGTCCCCCGGGCCTCCAAGTACACCCCACTGAGCTCTAACGAAAGCAAGGCAGAGTACTGAGCCCAGCGCTTCTCATCAGTGCCAGCTGAAGGCATGCTCCGCCGGAAGTGGATTCGGAACACATCGCCGGCCTGGCTCCACTCTTTAAGCCGTTGTAGCAGAGCCATATACTGTCGCCATGACAACGATACCACCGCCGATGACGAAGAACATGGCGCATGATCACAAGCAGAAGCCAAGGCCCAGAAAGACGACGATGACGTGGACAGCGATGCTTGATGATGGTGACAATGAAACACAAGGCCATGAAGATGGTAAGATCAGACCACAATCACACAGGCAAGCTCAACTGGTCGGAAACGATGGTATCGATAAACCCTAAACCCTAAACCTTAACCGTTTAGTTTAGGTTTAGGACCAAGATGTTGGCCAAACATTGCATGTTCTGTCTTTCCAAAGGCTGAGAACTGCTGCAACTTAGTGCATCAGCATTGGGCCCTTGGAGGCCCAGAAAACTTAGTAAAGGGGTTTAGGGGTTTAGGGTTCAGGGTTTAGGGTTTAGGGTTTGGGGTTTAGGGTTTAGGGTCTACTTGGAGGCCCAGGGGACTTAGTAAGTCGGTTATAAGTAGGGTTATATTTAGGGTAACTCC